GCTTGCAGCTTCCTTGTTATTCTTCAAGATAGCATAATACTCCATTGTGTGTATGTACCACAGTTTATCTATTCTTCAGTTGATGGGCACTTAGGCTGTCTCCATCTTTTTGCTATTGTAAATAGTACTGCTATGAACATTGGTATGCATATATCTACTTGTGTTATGGCCTGTATTTCTTGTGGGTAAATACCAAGTAGAGGAATTACTGGATCATAAGGTATTTCTATTTCCAGCCTTCTGAGGAAGCACCATATTGCTTTCCAGAGAGGTTGGACCATTTTGCAGTCCCACCAACAATGCAGGAGCATCCCAGTCTCTTCACATCCTCACCAGCATTTATTGTCCTCTACTTTTTTGATCTTTGCTATTATTGCTGGTGTGAGATGATATCTCATTGTTGTTTTGATTTGCATCTCTCTAATGGCTAGTGAACATTTCTTCATATGTTTGTTGGCTGCCTGGATCTCCTCCTTCGTGAAGTGTCTGTTATGTCCTGTGCCCATTTTTTATTTGGGTTATTTGTCTTTTTCTTGTAGAGGTGTTGTAGTTTCCTGTGTATTTTAGAAATGTCTGGTGTGTCATTGCAAAAATAATTTTTCTCATTCTTTGGGCTTCCTAGTAGGCATTCACGTTTTGTGATGAGTTTCGGATTTAAATTCTAAGAAATGTTAAGAAATGGTTGATCTTTTTTGGTGTCTTCAGATCCGCAAAGAAACCCAGAAATTACGAGAATTTGAAGAAGGCCTGGTTAGTCAGTACAAATTTTATTTGGAAAATCTGGAGCAAATGATTAAAGGTATATTAAATATCTATTTTTTCAGTATATAGTTTAACTTTGATCAGAAAGCTGAATTTTATGTTCTTTGTTATGTGGTATGGTATCATGAAGGGCACAGTACGGTCAAGAGGCAGACTACTTGGTTTCAAATCCTGGCTCACCCACTTACTACTCACATTGCTGGTGAATTATATACCCTCCTTGGGCCTCTGGTTTTCTCTGTAGCTTTAAGGTAAAAATGGGGAGGCGGGGCTTGATAGCGGCTAGGGTGGAGGTGCAGTGAAGTTCACTGCCAGCAATACCACAGAATACCAGGCAAAGCAGATCCAGGGCAGAGCTCCAAAACTCGGAACCACAGAGATAGGAATATTTTGAAGGTTTGAAGGCTTATAGATTGTGAAACTTGAAGCTGAAGTAAAAAATCGCGTACTTTTGAATCTGCCGGTCTGGGCTTGGCGGCCAGTAGCCGACATCTTGGGTGAGACCAAACAGCAAGACCAAACGGGGGAGCAGAAAGGCCGCGGGAACCTTGGAGCAAAGGTGGACAATACACTTTTGTTAGTTTTGTTTTGTTCTGATTTTTTATTTATTTTTTTGGTATCTGGTCAGTGGCACGCCCACTGTTTGCCCACTTCCGTTCTAGTGACTAGAGGGGGCACCTGAGTGAGTGAACTCCCCCCACCCTCACCACTGGAGGGTTCTTCTGCCATGCATGCTCACAGATACTCAGCCCAAGAGCAAGCCCTGATGGTTTTTTGCTTGTCTTTTTTTTTTTTTT